AAAGGAAGATATTTGCAAGACCTTTATTAAAAATAAACTTTCTGGTTAGAGAAAAAAGACAAATGAAACATCAGCCCCACTTTTATTAATACTTAACATTTAGCAGGCACTTCACTGTTTTAAGCACTACATTAAGCGTTTTAATTCTCTCACTTGCTCATCACAACTTAGGTAATATTATTGTCCCAATGTACAGAAACTGCGACTTGGATCGAGGTCACAGAGCTAGTAAGTGATGGAAAGAACCCAGACAGTATTCCTCAGGGTTCCACCACACTGCCAGGTCTACAGAATAGAAGAGAGAACCCAGAAACAGATCCAATTACTTTATGGGAATTTACTTTATGATTCATATCAGTGGAAAATAAGAGAGTTCTTGGCTAGCTGGATCCTTAATCAAAATAAATTCCAGGTAGATAAAAGATTTAAACCAAAGAAGACGAGAAGGAAAGAATGTGGAGAAGAAAGAGGAAAAACAAAGGGGGGGGGAGGGGAGAGAGAAGTGGGAGGGAAAAGCCATAAAAGCACTAGAAGAGAACATGGGTAAAAAAGATATATGAACTTGGAATGGAGACAACTTGACAAGATACAAAATTCAATAGATATAAAAACTACTAAAAGTCAAAAAACAAACTACAAACTGTGACACGACAGAAAATTTCCTTAAATTTGCAAGGAATTTCTAACACGTAGCAAGAAAAAGACCACAACCCAAAAGCAAACAAAAGAAAGAAAAAAGGTCAGTAAATATATGTCAACCTCATTCATAATAAAGGAACACAAATCAGAACCATGAAATATTTTCCATTTCCATCATCTTGGCAAAAACTAAATGATTAGATAATATTTGATGTCAATAAGGATGTAGGGAGATGGAAGGCAACTGGATCACCTCTGTCAAGATTTTAAACACTCAGTCACTACACCAGAAGTTCCAGAGCTAGAAATGAATTTGTTCTCTGAATACAGTATATAAAGATGTTCACTGAAGCAGTATTTGGAATATCAGTAAACTGAAAACCTAAAAATCCAACACTAAGGCCTGGTTAAATAAATTTTAAGTCCATCCATATAATTAAATGCTATAAAATTGTTTTTTTAAAAATCCATACATACCAAAATGAAAAACTGTCCAAGATATATTAAATGAAAACAAGATGCAGAATAGCATAGGAAAGTTAAAAGTCCATTTGCATTAAAAAAAACAAAAAGGAGAAAATACACATATATACACATAAAATTCTGGGAAGCTACTCAAAAAACTAGTGAGTACCCTCTGAAGAGTCCAAATGGCAGGCAGAGAGAGATGAAAAAGTAACTTTTTTTTTTACTATTTGAATTTTTCTTAACTCTCTGAATTTTTTTCCCCATGCACATGTATGTAACTTTCACAACTTTTTAAAAATGAATTCAACAAAAGATCATCTCAACACTGAACAATAAAGACACACACTTCAAGGCAGTTTTTTTTTTTTCAAACATTTACTGAACACAAACACCATTTTTTCCTATTACACAGCAATATTGTTAGTTTCAAATTAGCTGGGCTATTAGGACTGTCAGTTACCACGAAATTAAAAATGATTCTACATGTCAAACTCAAATAGAAAATGTCATGCAATATATAAATCACTAACAGGCCTCTGGTGCAGTCAGCAAGTTCACTATGTTTATTAAAGTCATGTAAATGGTTTGACAAAAGTGCACAATAGAATGACATCACTGGTTTGTTATAAATCACAGTGAATTACTAGAATACAACAATGTAATTCCTCTACGTGGAAGATTGCAGGATGGGGTGACTATTATAAAGGATAGGATCTTTCAACACGTTAAGCCAGTCAGAGTTTACTCCCCAGCTATATACTTGATTGGTTAGCAAAGCTGAGGTTATTTTCCCTCATCTTTTCTCCTCTACCAGTTACTAAGCAACAACAACAAAAAAAGGCCATGCACGAATTTTACAACACCTGATTAAAAAAAAGTTACAAAACCTTGTGCATTGCTTGGATGAAGCTTACATCTTTGCTCCTTCATTTTTCTGATTAGGCCACTCACCACATGACTCACCCCTAAATGAAAAGCCGTTAACAATTTAGCACTTCTCACCCCTGCACACACATCAAGGTACACTCCCCATAACCATCAAGTCGGTGTCCCTTTCCTATATGTTAACACAAATGAACACACCACAAACCTAGGACTAGAGACCACATTTACTTCACAGTTTTGAAAATTAATATATCACCACTATCCATGTAGTATTTGTTTCAGATCCCATATTTGGAGAAGGTACTGTACAACCCAGCCCATCTGAAGATTTGGGCAAGTCTGCCAGGAATGTATGAGAGAGCTCGGCAATGTACCATACACATTAGGAGCTCTTTACTTTCCAGAGAAGGTATCCAGAGCAGGGCTGTGCATTTTCAGAGTCGGAGTCAACACACAGCTTAGAATCTTATGGACTAATAACTTTTCATAGAGCAAAAGGCAGAGGTCTGTTTTCTTTAACCCATTTTAATGTTATAGTATAGTCAGTGAGGGAAACGGAATAGTCATCTGTACACTGATACATCTGGCTAGCCTGAAAAGGAACATTTAAAACATTTTACCATAAAAGCACAGAAAACCTACCACAAAAGCAAGTCCTTTATACTTTTATCCATCTACTCTCTAGTTCCATCACTGGCTGCTTCTAAAACCAGCAAACTAATCCAAGGTCCAGCAACTCATTCCTCACCCTGCCCCATTCCCCCAGAAAGAAATGCTTCTGCTTGAATAACCTAAAGTGGCCTTATTCCTCAAGTAGCTGCCTCAACTGAGATGGAGACTGGTGACAGGGTACTGTTCCCTTGGGATTCTGATTTTCAAAACCACTTGCCAAATGCAGAGCTGACACTCACGGAGCTGCTGCCCCACATCACATTTTACTTCAAACAGTGCTATCGTGCCTAAGTTTCTCATGATTACAGTTATTAATCAATGATCAGGGTAACGCAGTAAAACCCTTCCCAGAAACAAGCAAGACCAAAGTTTGCTTTTTGGTTTGTTTGTTTGAACCTGAAGGTAGCTGGACTGTGGCCTACTAGAGAGCAATCCGGGGTAGACTGAAAACAATGTTGTGTCAGAGTTCTCATGTCAAAATTTCCTGTCTGATCAGCTGAAGGATGCATTTGCTGCCCATTCCTTGACCTAAATAGTTACCTAAACTCAAGAGTTCAATTCTACCAACTCTTAAGTGCAAAACCCACCCAAGGGTTCACATGGTTTGCCCAGGCATTCATCCACTTGGGCCTCTAGTTAACTAAATTTATATGACAATTACTGAGCAAGACCAAGGAGTTTTGATGGAATTTGTAATGTTATCAAGGAAGACATACAATCTAAAGCATAATTCTACCAATAATAAACACAAAATGACAAAAGTGGCTAAAAAATGGCAACAGCCCAGAGTTCTCAGAGAGCTGAGATACAGAACTATCACCTTTCTTATTTATTTTCTTAAAAAAAACAAAACAAAACTTAAGTTTGGGAAGGGTTTGGCTAAACAGATTTTAAAATAATTCTACCAAAAAAAAAAGAAACAGGCATGTAATCACTTGTTTCAAGAATGGTTTTATACAGGTGTTTCACAATACATATTTGGATTCGTTTCACAAGACAGAATTAGATCCTTAGCAATATAGTGCACAATGTACCGCTATACCATAGTTTAAAAAAAAAAAAAATCTCGGTTACCATTAGCAAAGTTCATAGTCCATTCCACTGTCTTCAGATTTTTTCTCCAGCTTTGTCAGCATTTCAATCAGCAGTTTTACTCTCTCCAGCATTTAGTCCTCCCTTCTCAAAAACACTGAGTGTTATTAAATTTTGATGTCTGAATATGTACAGATAATCATTATCCTCGTTTTATAAGTAAGTAATATCTAAAATAGTTCTCGTCCTGGGTAGCCAAAGGGATGAAATGGTTTTTAAAACATGCAACATTATCTGATATTTTAAGTTTTGATGTTTAAAAATCATATGCATTAATAATGGAACCAAGGGCTTCCCTGGTGGCGCAGTGGTTGAGAGTTCGCCTGCCAGTGCAGGGGACACGGGTTCGTGGTCCGGTCCGGGAGGATCCCACATGCCGCGGAGCGGCTGGGCCCGTGAGCCATGGCCGCTGAGCCTGCGCGTCCGGAGCCTGTGCTCCACAACGGGAGAGGCCACGACAGTGAGAGGCCCGCGTACCGCAAAAAAAAAAAAAAATGGAACCAAGTAAATACCAAGTATCATAGCTATTCCTCAGACTGTCAAATAAACAGGCCTTGAAGTCTGAAAAATACAGGGTCTGATCTGAGCTGTGAAAAAGGCGTGATTCTCTCACCTGGAGGATGAGCATTTTCTCTTTCATGAGAGTTGCCAAGAGCAAGGTATAGTAGTTCCCTGATTCACACCAGGAAGATCAAGGCCAGTAATTTTCAAATTAGGGCTCATTCAAATACCTCCCTTTAGACCATCCTAAAAAACCTTCCTTGTAAAAATCTCAGGTTAGGAAAACAGAAATATATTACTATGACAGAATTTACCATCAAAACATTCCTAACTGAAGCAAGAAGACACGTGAAGTATAGCTACAGCACAGTAAAATTATCTTGCGTTCTTGGGGGAAGAAGTTTTTAAAGTACCCCCATCCATTCCCTCCTATCCTTCAGAGTGTTTCATTTCATGGGGTACCTATTTTATTTAAGGTCCTAGGTGCTGAGTTTGGCTTAGTCATTATGTTTTATACTGATCCGGCTGCAACCTTTTTCTTACACTTCACAAAGCAATATCCATACATAAAATGTTAACTGAAACCTTACCAGTGGTTTTTGTTGTTGTTTTTTTTTAGTTTATATCTGATGTTGCTGCATCATTATAATGCTTTTCATTAAAGAAAAAAAGCTGCAGGTCTTCACTTACAGTACCATGCACTATGAGTAGCTAAGGCATTCACTTGGCACTAGAGAGAAAAATACAGATATAGCTAATTTTATTTTCTTTATCATTTTTAACATTGAAAGAAATAGGTGTGTACCCTTTACTTGAATTTCTGTGATGCTTAAAAGATAATCACAGAATATTCTTTTGACAGTTTACAATGTTGCCATTAAAACAAAACAAACAAACAAACAAAACCCATAAAGACCTCTGTACAGCCTGTCGGAATAAGCGACATTTTGTGGTTCCAAAATTTGCTGCCCTCAGGCAGAAATATCTTTCCAAATGGCATTGAGAATTATTTTTATTATCAAAAACATTTAATTTCCTATACCACACTAGTGATTTTTCTACTTGTCACAGACTGAATAAAGTGAAAAAATTAAAAATATCCCAGTTCCTTTTCATCTGTCATAAAAACCTTCTTAGGGAGGCACAAATAATGCCCTCTGGAAAAGTAGTTTCCAATTTTAAAAGATACCGCACAAGAGGAAAGGGAGAAGGGGACAAAAGAAGAACATATAACTATATTGTGACAATTTGTTTCCTAAGAGAGAACACAGCATTCATAATTTTTACACGTCTGTGAGCTGAGTCAAATGCAGACTGCTGCAATTTAGATTAATTACATTAAAACAGAGACTTCCACACATTTTAGAGTCCAAGCCCAAAGGCAAATAGTCCATCAATATTCTCTGAAAAGTTGCTTTAAGATTTACTGCTGTATATGTACCACCCAGCATAATTCAACAATTTCAATGGATTTAACTTTATAAATTTGTAACTATTATTGTTAGCACATTTTTCAGATTAATCTGCAGTTATATTTTTAAAAATCCTCCTGACGTTATAATGCGTTGATCTCTTCACATAAATAATGGAAGAGTGAAAACTACCTAGAGCAGTTTGGCATGTGCAGAACATCTAGATATTCCATTACTTTTAATGTTCCTTTTCGTTGTTTTTCTTCATGATCCTCAAAACTGCTGCAGAGAATAACATGCTGACACAGGCTTAACAGAAATACTTTTCTAGGCAGTTTTTTTTAAAACATTATCAACTTCAAATCATAAGGGCCCTTGTTACATAAACAAAATATTTTATATTCATTCCTTAAAAAAAAGAAAAATAGTTAAGTGACCAATATCCAAACACCTTAGATTATAGTTACACCTAAACAATGTGGTTTTGTTTAAAGTGTATTTGAAATCAGTAACCATGTGAGGCAAGAAGACCAAATACAAAACTAAGGAAGGATGAGCAGGGAGGAAGGGTAGTGGAAAGAAAAGCACATTTTATGAACACATAATTCTATTGTCTGTGATTAAAGTCCTTTACTTTTTAGCACCGCATTAAATGATTTTACATATCCAGTCACTTAATGAAATCCAACAAACTCTTCAAGAGTTCTGGGGATCTGGTCTTGGTAGTTAATGTCATTAGCCCGAACTGCCCGGGCAGCCAGGCACTTGAGACTCATCTTCATTTGAGTTTTAAGTAGTATTTCTGATACCCCAGTTGTACTTTTGTCTAGCGGAGTCTTATTCTGTTTATTTGTCATGTCGGTGTGAGCGCCAGCTTCAACTAGGCTAATGATGATAGAGTGCAAGGTCAAAAAATCACTGATGGGCCTGTTGTACTGAACGATAATGTGAAGGGCACTGTTCCCTTCATTGTCCACAGCATTCACCTCAGCACCACAGTCCAGCAGGAGCTTTGTGACAAGCGCGTTTGGAAAGCTGCAGACATCATTGGTGTGGAAATCATCAACTGGGGTATTCGAGTTGACAGCTAGATGCAGCAAGGTGAAACCTTCACGAGTTCTGGGATCAAGGTGAATCAGGTTGTAGATCTGCTTGTTAATTTTGCACTGATCTTCTTCACTGCACTGCGTTTTGGTGGAAATGCACACTAAATACAGAAAAGTATAGAGATTACATTCATAATTGTCCATAGCACTGTGGACGTCAGCATCTGGAATATTTTTTACTCTGTTCATACTTTGTTCTATTTCCAAAACACTGCATCTCAAAACACATTCTATGTCTGGGGCCTTCACAGTTTCATTCAAATGTATCATCTGTGAAAAAACTTGGGCAAATCGAAGGAGATCCTTATGGGTATTCCTGTTACCTTTCTGTCTGAGGTGCAGGGCATGAAGCCACAACTTGATACACTGTTCGAACTCCATGTTATCTGCATAAACGGCTCCCCTGTAGATGATGGGATGGGAAACATCAATGTTGTCGGCGCCTAAAATCCGTTCGCGAACTATGAGGCCTTCCATATGAAGAGCATCTCTGTCTTGCCGAATGGATTCCAGTTCCTGAGGATTTCTACATTCAGTTCTATTCCCATAGGCATGGATTGGTGGGAGAACCTCTTTCTCAAGAATGTTGTCACCATCTTGAAACCTCTCCAACATTGCTAAATATAAATAGTGGTATGTCTTCATGATGTCATAGTTCTCACGGTCATTTGCAAAGGAGGCACCCAAGAGCTCCAAAGCTTCAATCCGACTTCTTCGGTCACAGTCAGCATGAGAGAGCAACAGTTCGACAACATCAGCTTTACAGCTTTCAGCAGCTACTTTTAATGGCGTCATCCCATGGCCGTTCACTACTATAGCAGCACGCCATTTTATCAGCTCCTTCACAATATCTATGTGCCCAGCTTCAGCTGCAAAGTGCAGTGCTGTGGCTCCACAATGTGCTTTAGCATTTGGATCAGCACGTTGTTCTAAAAGGTATCTGACCACATCAGTGTGTCCTTTATAGGCTGCAATCATTAGGCAGGTGTTGTCATACTTGTTGGCAATGCTGATGTTGGCATTATTTTCAACCAAGTATTTCACAATGTCCAATCTGCCATCAAAGCATGCTGCCCGTAGCGGGGTTGAGTTAGTTACTGTGGTATGGTTCACGTTGGCTCCATGACTGACTAGAAGCTTAACAACTTCAAAATGTCCTGCCCCTGCTGCACACCAAAGAGCGGTGGCACCATCAATGACATACCTATTCATGAAAAGAACGAACAGTTAGAAAATGGAGGTTACCTGCCCTAACGTAAATTTAAAGGATGTATTCATTTACACTGACCCGAAACCTCAATCTACAGAGCGTTAGTAAAACATTAGTTTGGCTGAAAATAAAATCAGGTAATTTAAGTAAAGCACTTTGCATGGTACTTGTACCTAGTATGAGCTCAATAAATGTTAGCGACTGTTGTTATTACCAAAGTATAAAAACTAAAAAAAGAAGAAAAAACGAATCACTGACTTGCTACTAGCAAAAGTAAATAAATTTCAGAAGACAAAGAGGAAATGTATGGAGTTTTGTAACTTCTTGACCACCAAGCTGATTCACTGGCTCTTAGGAGCACAGCGTGTTCCTCCCAGCACCCCCTAGGTACCACAGTTTCATTGAGTACATCAGTGAGAAAGCCACCCCAATCTCTGCATTAACATTGTGTTAGAAACTGCTTTAGGAAGAAAAGTATTTAAGCAGATAATTTTTCCCTAAGATTATCTAAGCTAGTAAGTATTATACTCTACTACAGCAGTGAGAAAGAAACAATTACTGCCCCAACATGCATGGTACAACCTTATAACACAGGTCAAATTCTATCTCCCTTGAAGTGAAAAAGAGTACAATCCACCTGGATTAATATAAATACCATAGTTTAACCGCAATTATCAATACCATCTATCACTTCTGCTGAAAATAAAAGACGCACTTTATAAACATGCAAGCAATTACTTCTTCAGTTTCAAATAATGATGCAAAATGTTTATAAGCAAAAGCATTCCCGGTAACAGTGACCTATGGGGTGACCTATGGGGGACGGTGTAGGATTCACTCGGATGAGGCTTAAAGCTACTAGAAATGTACTATATTTTGATCTGGGTAGTGGCTACATGGGTGGACATTTAGGGGAAAAAACTCATCAAACTGTACATGAAAGATTTGTACATTTTACTGTATGAAAGACATACCTCAAAATAAATTTGAGACTTCTGAAGTTTCTTTTTAAAATTTCATCTTTTTAATGTCATTTAATCGTTAATTGATTTTTTAAACTAAAGAATGAATCAAGAAAATAAGACATTACATCAGTTGAAATGTTTTAGTGGTTGCCAACTGTACCTTTTGCAAACAATTCAGTTTAATGAAAATTCACTTATTACATTTTTATTGTCATGATTATAAACACAAAGTTCAAAAAAGTTTTCTTTCACTGTCAAAAAAATAAAATTTTCAACAGCATCAGAAAATACCAATATCTGATACTAAATCTCATGAAAAATGTACAAGACTTCTACATTGAAAATTACAAAACATTCCTGAGATAAAGACCTAAAGAAATGGAGAAATATTCCATGTTTATTGTTTAGGAGATTGAATAATGTTAAGATGTCAGTTCTCCCCCAAAATAATCTACAGATTCAATGCAATCCGAAACAAAATCCCAGCAGGGATGTGTGTGTGTGCACATGCACAAATGTGTGCATGCATCCACATATGTGTAGATATTGACAAGCCAATTCTAAAATTTATATAGAAATGCAAAGGGGGACTTCCCTGGTGGCACAGCAGTTAAGAACCCTCCCACCAGTGCAGGGGACACGGGTTCGAGCCCTGGTCCGGGAAGATCCCACATGCCGCGGAGCACCTAAGCCCGTGCACCACAACTACTGAGCCTGCGCTCTAGAGCCTGCAAGCCACAACTGCTGAGCCCACACGCCACAACTACTGAAGCCTGTGTGCCTAGAGCCTGTGCTCCGCAATAAGAGAAGCCACCGCAATAAGAAGCCCGCGTTCCGCAACCAAGAGTAGCCCCTGCTCGCCGCAACTAAAGAAAGCCCACACGCAGCAACAAAGACGCAACACAGCCAAAAATAAATTAATTAATTAAAAAAAAAATGCATGGCTTCCCTGGTAGCGCAGTGGTTGAGAGTCTGCCTGCCGATGCAGGGGACACGGGTTCGAGCCCCGGTCCGGGAAGATCCCACATGCCGCGGAGCGGCTGGGCCCGTGAGCCATGGCCGCTGAGCCTGCGTGTCCAGAGCCTGTGCTCCACAACGGGAGAGGCCACAACACTGAGAGGCCCGCATACCACAAAAAAAAGAAAAAAAAAAAGAGGCACTACATTACTACTATAATTTAACTTCTAAATCAATTTAAAGAAAAAGTTTAAATAAACACAAATAGCTAATAAATAATTTCCATGTGCCAAGCACTGTATTAAGTGCTTAATATATAGTATATCTTATTTAATTCTCATAATAACCTTCTCCCAATAATCCTATAAGGTAAATACTATTATTACGCCCATTTTAAAGACATATAACTAAAAGGCTTACATGAGATTAAAAATACAAAAGTACTTTGGAAACTATATAATGCATCAAATGTAAGGAAACAATACATGTCATTGTTCAAACATGTTTCAATTTTAAAAGCTTTTTTTTAAAAAACTTCTTAATATAATCTATCCAAAAAATCAATACATAGTTAACATATAGTTATATTTACATAGTTACAAAGTTTCCTTGCACGCCTTAAGAATATTATTTGCCAAGAACATGAACATAATCTAAGTAAAAACTCAAGAAATGTTACATTAAAATAGGCATTCACATACATTATCTTTAACTCTTGCAATAACCATATAAGATAAATAGGACCCCCATTTTAAAGATGGAAAAAAAAGAGACAAAAGTAATTAAAAAAATTTTTTTCTGGCCTCAAATTTCCCAGAACTAATGACATGAGTAAAAATTAAATTACAAGTATATACTTCACTTGGTTTTTATAATCATTTAATACTTTTCCTGGTGTAATCTAATAATTTCCATTTTCCCTATGGTGATGTGACAGGAGCCTAAAAAAAGTTTCAATTATCTATTTTTATTGAGACAAGTAAAATTTTTTAAATAGTTTATGACAAAATATTCACTGTAGAATGTTACAGAATGACTAATCCTTCAGAAACATTAGCCTTAGTGATTTTTAAATTTCTACATCTAAATAAAAACATTAAACAGATTAAAGGGAATTATAATCCTAACATCTATGACATTTTTTGTCCATAAAATACAGCTAAAATTATAGCCATATACTGCCTCAAAACAAAATGCCAAACACATTTATAACAAAATGAACAGAAAATAAATAAAAATATAATCAAATTAATGCAATATTTACTTAATGCCTATGGGAGAAGCACTATAAAACGATCTTTCTAGATTGAGTCTAAAATTGCAATGCAAACTAGCTATTATGTATTTCATCTTAAAAATGAAGAAACTTGGGACTTCCCTGGTGGCTCAGTGGATAAGAATCCACCCGCCAATGCAGGGGGCACCGGTCCGATCCCTGGTCCAGGGAAGGTCCCACATGCTGCAGAGCAACTAAGCCCGTGCACCACAAATACTGAGCCTGCGCTCTAGAGCCTGCAAGCTACAACTACGGAGCCCATGTACTGCAACTACTGAAGCCTGTGCACCTAGAGCCCACGCTCTGCAACAAGAAGCCACCGCAATGAGAAGCACACGCGCTGCAACGAAGAGTAGCCTGGGCTCACCGCAACTAGAGAAAGCCCGTGCACAGCAACAAAGACTCAACGCAGCCAAAAAAAAAAATCAAACTTTAATCTGATATTCACCTTTTAAACAAAATGTATGCATCAGATGATGGAAACATTTCACAATAAAAGATAACATTTCTGATCACAAAACTAAACTCATGTATTTCCTGGTTCGATCTGAAATAAAAATGTCTAGTTCAAGCATTTGAAATAGAAATAAAAATTCATTAAATGTAACTGACAGCACTTTATTTTAAACAAAGTCCTTAAAATCATTTATCAGATCTTATGTAGTTCCTTGAAATATACACTGGAAATGACTTTCTAAATGAAGCCAAATGACGATGTGCCCCTTACACCTTTCCTCTACCTGGACATTTATTAGAAGTATTAGTACTAGAACTGACTTTAAAAGAGTACTCAACAAAAAGCCTCAGAATTCCCAGAGGTCCTGTTCTCCTTCCCATCCATGTCAGCAAACTTCTTCTAGGACAAGAGTTCCCCACAAACTCTGGCACACAGCAGTCAGGCCCTCAGAACTCAAACCAGCACAGAACTCCAAGGTCACATGACACCTCCCCTTTGTTATGTTCCATTTCTATAACATTCTTAACAGCTTCCCATACTCCAACTAAAGGTTCTTCTTTCATTCCCGTTCATTTTTTTTAAAAATGAAATAAAAATTCCCGTTCTTTTTTTTTAAATTTATTTATTTATTATTATTTTTGGCTGCATTGGGTCTTCACTACTGCGCGCAGGCTTTCTCTAGTTGTGGTGAGCAGGGGCTATTCTTGTTGCGGTGTGTGGGCTTCTCATTGCGGTGGCTTCTCGTTGTGGAGCTCTAGGTGCGCGGGCTTCAGTAGTTGTGGCTCAAGGGCTCTAGAGCGCAGGCTCAGTAGCTGTGGCGCCCGGTCTTAATTGCTGCGTGGCATGTGAGTTCTTCCCAGACCAGGGATCAAACCTGTGTCCCCCTGCATTGGCAGGCGGGTTCTTAACCACTGTGCCACCAGGGAAGTCCCAATTTTTCTTCTTATCCACTCGTCTATGTCAATTTTGGTCGTTACACAGTAAGCCATAAATAAAATAATCTCAAATGTTACTCCTAAAAATATGTACAAGGACTCAAATATCAGCATCGGGCTTAATCTAGGTGGGTGGCACCGTCCCTCTTTTGAGGCTCTATTATGAATATACTTTAGTTTTCTAAGGTATTCTAGATGTTTTTAGGCAGAGTATAGGCTTATTTAAATAAGTTATTTTAATGTCTATGTGTCTCTCTATCCCTCTCTCTCTTTCTCTCTTTCTCTCTCCCCCTCTCTCTCTCTCTCTCTCTCTCTCTCTCTCTCTCTCTCTCTCTCACACACACACACACACACACACATGCAGAGTACCATATCAAACCCCATAATTACACAGATACTGTTGCTTAGGATGAAGCTAAGAAGTGAGACTTTTTTTTAATATTAGGCAAATAACAGGATAGGTGGTGAACGATTTGGCAAAAAATTGTGAAGATGGTACATAAATTACTGAAAATTAGGAAACACTAATCTACTTCAGCCCACAAAGAACCTGTTTGTCCCTATCTGGCCATGGGTCTCAAGTACCAGTGGAATCTAAAGAAGGGGGGTTGGCTAAGTACCTCTCAAAAGCCAGTCCCTGAGGGGTGAGTGAGCTTCATATTATTAACACCTCACTCAGACTAACATTTTCACACTGTCTGGAATGAATGTAAAGTGAAATCATGACATTTGCAAGTAACACCCTCTTCATCTATTTCTGAAATGCCTAAATGACTGGAACAAACTGCAAAATAATCTCACAGAGTGGTGTGAGTGGGCAGAAAGGTGGCCATGAATTTCAGTTCTTCTCTTTTGTTAATCTGTAAGCTCCTCGAAAGTAGAAACTTTACATTTTCTTCTACATCTTCCACATTATCTGTGTGGCACCGGGCTAGGCCCATCATAGGCATTTAATAAGTTAAAAAACAAAACTACTTTGACAGAGTAGCTAATAAATCCATAACTGTAATAATCCATAAACAAAAAAAGACAGATTGAAGAAGCCTCACACAAAATCTCAAATGATTGAAATCTTTGCAATTCCAGTCTCACCAATCTGACTCTTGAAATTTTACACAAGGATCATCAAAATCTGGCCTCCACCTCACTCTAGTCTCCCACAATCTCTCTTAATTTCCCAGGCTTGAACCCCTTACTGAAACTGCACTGAAACATTTGTCATTGCAAGAGCACCATGCCGCCGTCCCTCTTCTTCACTCTCTACTATCCTTTAAGACTGAGCTCAAATATCACCTCGGCTATGAAGTCTTCCCTGATTCTCCCAGGCAAAGCTGAGCACTTCCTCTCCCTGTGTTCCCTCAGTAGTCCAAAAGATTTCTATAACCCTAAATGGCATGGCATCTACACTTACTCATTTTCATCAATTTCTTACCTCTGCCACACACCACGCCCCACCTCCAGCCCCCGCCCAGGGCAACAGACTGTCTTCCTCTGCAGTGGGAACAGTATGTCATTCATCTCTGCACACCCAATCCCTACTACAGAGCCTGGCACACAGTAGGTGTTCAAAATATGTTTGCTTATTGAACCCTTTAATTTCACTGGCCAGTGCAAAATACTGGGCAAGGTAAGCCACTACACAGGCTCAATGCTACATTCCTAGCCATTTCAGGTTCTCTTAATTGCCACCTCAAAACACCTTTCTCTTTGATGGTTAAGAAAGATAAGCAAAGCCTTTCCAAATGCTTTAGAAAACTATATTTTCTCGCCACTATTCTCTCCTAATCAAAACAGGCCTCAGCAAGCTCCTTAGCAGCAGTGTAACCAGCAGCTGTTACTGCAGAGATTCCTATCTCAATGGATGCTTGTGCCTATACAACTGGAATGGTGCTAGAAGTTCAGGGGTCATCCTACTTCACTCCTCTGCGTAGAGAAAAGGCTGTGGGAATGCAGGGAGTTACAGAAAGCACACAGAAGCTAGTAAAAGAAAACGAACAAGAATCAGGTTGCCATCTTTGATTAATATGAAAAAGACCATCTCCTTAACGTCTAGAGAGGTGGTACCAGAGGTTAACCACCACCCGTGGGCTATCATTTCAGTAAAATATAATACCCTGAAATATTTTCCTGTCATCTAAAACAGAAGAAAAAGCTCTTATTATTTCAACCTACAAAAAGAATCAACCAAAATTCAACAATGCCCTAGTCATCTTCAAGAGGAATTGTTTTTTCCATCAGGTTTTAACCAAGCAGTTTTCAATCACCAAAACTAAAGATACGTATCTTTATGCTAGGACCACATCTATCTCAAAAGAAGAAAATGCTAGAATAGCTTATGTACTGGCACAAGTCAACAAAAACAATTAATGCATCTTCATGCAGTTGTAATCTGTAAAACAGGTTATAACCATCCAGCACAGAAAAGATAACGTCAAACCTGACAATTCTGCATTCAACTCTATCATACCCAAAAATATGTACAATTAAACCTAAAGGGCAAGTTTTAACTCTGACAATATGAATTTTTGAACTCCCCACCTGGAATAACAGTATATCATCAAGCTTCCCCACAACATCACAGAATAACATGTAATTTAACAATGGCATCACCTCATCCTACACCAGGTCCGGTGCCATTTTCACAGCCAACACATCTACCCCCAGCAATGTGTAAGAGTCAGAATCATGTCTTGGGAAGTCTGGCTGCACCCCTCAAGAGGCTGCAACTGCTGCTGGTTCTAGGGGCTTATTTTGACATTAAGGTCCCACAACCCACTAAGGGGCTTTATCGGACACTCACGTGAAGGGGTAAACATTGGGTGGCCAAATAACTCATCAAACAAAGGTCTTCAACGTTAATTGCTGACCTCGTTAATTTCTGATCTCGGTTACAACCCCAGTACTGATACAGTGAAAACCTGAAAAGGCTGCTACCTCCTCCATACTGCTTCTTCACAAACTATCTAGTAAAGAATACAGAATACCTATTAGGTATCAAGACAGAGGGTGTGGCTATTTACCTATAGAGGGAATAAGGGGTAGGGGCCAATGAGGATGAGCAGCAAAACATGGGATGGAGTATTCGCCCTAGAAGATGAAGTGGGCATTAATGAGGCAGGTCAGGAGGTACAAAATGGGAGAAGTGATACCTCCATGAAGCGAGAGAGAGGGAGGGGAAGACCCATAAAGTGGTGGGTCCGCGCGCCTTAGAGAGGAGGCTGGAGTTGGGATGTACCTACCCGTCGAAGCGGACAGTGCCAGTCTGCTGAGTCTGCACCCGGTAATGTTCTAACAGCAAGCGCACCACCTTGGCGTGCCCATTGCGGGCTGCGATGATGAGGGGCGTGGAGCGCTGCCCTCCCTGCTGGCTGACATAGCCAAGTAGATAGCGGATGTCGCTTTCAGACCGGTTGAGAAGCAAGGCGGCCAGAGTCAGCACCTTGCCCTCGCTGGCCGCCTTGTATACATAGCCAGCCAGGCCCTCCATGGCCGCTGCCAACTCCAACACCCGTTTGGTCGCCACCGCTGCTGCTGCCTTGCGCCCCTGGAGGCCGCGTTCGCCAGCGCTTCAAACCTGGGCCCTCACAGCCCATTCAACAGGGCGCCGCCGCCGCCGCCGCCGCCGCGCCCAGGCAGCAGCGCGGCCAGGGGAGGGCGGAGACGCAGAGGTGGCCGAATGCCGCGGGGGGCAGGTCAGCGATCCAGGCCGGGCAGGGAGGAGGGCGGTCAGGGCCGTCCCCAAGGCCCCAGACGCCAGCCCTGGGCCGAGGGGATCTCCATGGTGGCCGGGCCTCAGGCTGGACCCCCTCCTTCCTGCGGGCTGCGACAGGCGCGCGCCCGAGCTACGGGTCGCCGGCGAGGTCCCAAGAGGGCCGCGCGCGCCCTGGATGGCGAATGATGGACGCGCTTCACCCGACCCAGCCCGCCGGGCCTAGGGCCTGAAAGTGCTTCTGCCTCCGCCTCCTCTCTGCGTCCTCCCCAGCTGGAGGAAACCTGCAGGCCCTCGCCCACTGGAGCCCAGAAGAGCCAGACGCTGTCCGTCGGTAGCTTCAGAGGTCCACGCCTGGGGAGGCCCCCAGAGAGAGGCGGAACGCTGCGGCCACAGCAACCCCCGGGCTCTGGACGGGGAGGAAGGCGGGCCTCTGCAGACAGGGCTGAGACGGGGTGGGTGCGAGCGGGGGACGGTTAAGTGGGGTGTCTCTTCCAAAGCAGACCGGCCGGCGAACGAGGCCCGATGAAGAAAGGTTCTGCTGCGCGAAGGCGGCCCATCCCCACTTCGGCCCGGGATGTCCTCATTGCCCTTGATGCCTGGAGCTTCCAACTCGCCCCCACTAGGCCCTGGGGGTCCCTAGCCAGGGAGTGGGACAGAGTGAAGGCGCTGAACCGTTACTGCCGGTGGGTTTTGGGGCCCGCCCCGTTTTACCGTAGACATTGCGGGGCTCTTCTCAGCCCCTGTTTGGGGGCCCGGGGAGGGGGGTGCGTGCACCCGGCGGGGTCCGTTTTGAGAACAGGGCGGCGTCTCTGAGCCCCCGAAATGTGGGAGGACTTTGAGGGTTTGCATGAGGCTCTGAGAAGGAACTGGAAGTCCGACCTGCCCTCCCTGGAGAGGAGGATTAAGTGTGTGAGAAAGGTCGGGAGAGATGGGGAACTGTGGAAAGGGGCGAGGTACCCTGGGAAGGAAGACGAAGTCTGTGTTCGGACAGACCAGGACTCTAATCCTGAATCTGACGGGACCTTCGGTTTTCTCACAGACCTCACCAGATTATTAGGGTTTGAAAAGATCATTCATCCAACGAATATTAGAGATCTACTATGTGCCAGGCTCTGCTTGGCCCTAGGGATTCAGTGATAGACCAGATAGACACAGTGCCCCTTCAGGGACTGTGTTGTTGCGGGGAAAACAGACAATAAGCAAGTAAACAAATAATAGACAAGACTGGCTGAGTTTGTATCATTACCATTTGCTATGAAGCAAATGAAATAGAGTGATGGGGGGTGGGAGGCGGAGCTAATTTAGTTTGGGCGGTCAGACAAGACCTCCATGACAAGTAAGGAGAACAGGTGGTATTCTAGGCGGAGGGAATAGCTAGTACAAAAGCCCTGAGGAGGGAACAGTCTTGGTGAGTTCAGAAACAAAGGTCAGGGTGGCTGCAGCAAAGTGGGCCATAGGAAGAGTGATAGGAGAGGAAATCAGCAGGGTGCAGGTCATCTTAGGGCCCAGTTACCCATGGTAAAGTGTTTAAATTCTACTCAAGTGTAGTGGGGGCATTTGAAGAGTTTTAAACAGAAAAGTGACAAGATACAATTTATATTTTTTAAAAGATCACTCTTGCTACTGTGTAAAGAATAAACTGTAGTAGGCAGGAGTCAAAGCAGGAAGGCCATTTAGGAGGAAAGGTTGGGACTACGATGGTAGGAGTGGAGGTGATGAATCTCACGGGGCAGTCACAGAAGGTATAAGTTCAATATGGAGGTCACTCCCTCCATACACACACAAAGGACAGTATCTACCATAGAGAAAGAGCAAATACATTTATTTGGTCCCAAGGGACCAGGCTGAGCTCAATGAGTTCACATAAATTATTTCATTTGAACCCCACCCTTCCAATCCTAGTTGGTGAAGGCGTCATCTTAGCTGCAGAGCTATTGGTGAGGGTTTGGGCCACTTCTCAGATTTTTCTCTTCCACTCTACAGTACAACTTTACCTATTTTCAGATCTCTATACTTTTTCACCCATGTTAAACAAAAACAACACTGGAAATCAGAGCTGAAGGTGGGGTTCTACCAGCAGCGTCTCTGAAATAACTGGTGGAAAAGAAGGGGAAGCTGGTTGTTCTCATTCTGGAGCTTCAGGGTTGGAAAAAATTCCAGTTCTAGACAGACTGAGCCAGGCTTTTTGGCCTCTGGGCACTTGGTGGTGACACATTCGGATGTGGGACCTGGGGGCTCCCTTCCAACTGATTTCATTCCTAGGCTCTACAGAGCAACTAGGCTCATCCTATTCCCTCCCCCTCTCTCCCTCTCTCTCCCTCTCCCTCCTTTCCTCCCTCTCCTTGTGGCCCTTTGCCCTGCATCATTCTTTTCACACCCAACTTTTCAAAGGTGATCCAGACACAGGCCCCTTTCACACCCAGCTTTTGAAGGTGATCCAGACACAGGCCCCTTCTTCCCTTTGGTTTCATTTTGTGAAAGAGGCCTGATTCATCCAGCTATTCATTACTGAGTAAGAAACTTTCTTCTGGGACTTTTCTGGTGGTCCAGTGGTTAAGACTTCACCTTCCAATGCAGAGGGTGCGGGTTTGATCCCTGGTAGGGGAGCTTAGATCCCACGTGCCTCTGGGCCAAAAAACCAAAACATAAAACAGAAGCAGTATTATAACAAATTCAATAAAGACTTTAGAAACGGTCCACATCAAAAAAAAAAAAAACAGAAAGAAACTTTCTTCTGCTTTCTCTTGCCCTTTGGAGATGAACTAGGGTTCATCCTGGTGCTGGCACTCCAATTTAGTTGTGTAACTGGATGAGTGCTAGAAAGGGTGACTAAACTAAGAGTCATGCCAGAGAGGGGCTCGGAACTTGCACTTCGGGGCCTCCTCCCCCAGATGGGAATATACATCTGCTCCAGCAGCCCAAGGTCAAGAACCTTCTTTATTTATCACAGTTGCCTAGTATAGGGTTCTGGGCTCCTTGGGTTGCTTAATAGCCATTGACTGGGGAGTATTTGGTAGTCTATATTTACCTGGGCTTGGAGGATGATGTTTCTGTGGTCAGGCTGGGCAAATTAGAGACAGGATGTATAAACAGGACAAGGCTGCTTTCCCAAAGGCCAGAGCCCAGAAATAGCTCCTTGTGCTTCTGACCTATTCCCTTCCCCTTTGACAGAAAGCCACTGAGCAAATGATCAGTAGTAAAATGTAACTGAAAATAGTTGTATCCAGATGGAGATTGATTTGCTGATGACAGCAAACTGCAACCTTCTACCTGGACAAAAGACAGGACCAACATCCAGCACTTTTCTGGGGATTGGAGGTGACCTATGAGCAGAATTAGCTGTACCTTCCATAGAATATTCCTTTTTCCAAGCCAGGTCAGCCCAGCCTACAGCTCTTGAATCAATGGAGTTGCTCAGATTTTGTATAAAATGTCATTCAAAATGTCATTTTTCAAGCACCAGTAAAGATACTTGTTTTAGTCCTGTAAGCCTCCCACAGACTCTAATGGAAGAGGATGACTTTTGGTGTTGAATAGATCTGGGTTGAACTCCCTTCTCTGTGGGTTAGCTGTGGCCTTGGGCAAGTTTCTTCATGTGTACAATGGGAGTAATAAATACTTTCCTTGCAGGGCTGGTGTGATGGTGACAGGCAAGCTCCTTCACCCAGCCTCGTCCTGCGTCCTGCAAAGGAGTGCCTATCAGTACACATTAGTTTCCCTTCTTCCTAGCTCCCACCCCAGGCATACTTCCATTGTGCCATTAACCTGTTCAAGAAAGGACTTCCCACCCCATCTGCATTCTCCCTGCAGGATGTGTCTGCCTCTGGACACATATGGAAAGTAAATCCATAGTATGCAAGGGGCTGGGGAGGTTAACTGACAAGAGCTGGGAAATTCCAACAGAACCTCCAAAGGAAGATGTCAAAAATCAGACTGACCACCAGTCTCTCTATTAGCCCAGTTTCAGGGGACTGGCAGCCCACTAGCCTTTGTCTCCTCCTCCTCTCTCTCCTAGACTTGCCCTGAAAAGCAGATGTAATCATTGTCAAAGACAAAACCTAAGGTGGAGGAGAGGGCGCAGCTGGTCTGTGTTATTTCCCGAGCCAGTTCACCCCTGCCAGGTTTAGGTTTACCAGGAAAGTAGACTGAAGTCGACATGTGCCTTCTTTCTTCTGACCCCATTCCTCCCTGAATCATGGTACCAGTCAGGTACCCTGGGATTACAATAACAGAACTAACAATAGCGAGCTCATACTGAGTGCTTACCGTGTGCCAGGCATCATAGTAAACACTGTATACAGATTAGCATGTTAAATTTGCGCAAGCCTCTGAGGGATGTGCCATTATTATCATTCCCATTCTTCAGATGAAGAAACTGAGATAGAAGTGTTGTGTAACCAGACGTAGAGAACAAACGTATGGACACCAAGGGGGGAAAGCAGCGGCGGGTGGGGGTGGTGGTGTGATGAATTGGGAGATTGGGATTGACATGTATTCACTGATGTGTATTAAACTGATGACTAATAAGGAAAAAAATAGCACAAAGGACATACAAAAACAAAAAAAAGAAAATGCACTGGAGAGCAGGGAAAGATTTTTTTAAAAAAGAAAAAAGAAAAAGAAAGAAATGTGTAACTTGCTCATGGCCTCATAACTAGAGTGTGTTAGAATGTCAGGATTTGGATGCTGGGTGTCTGACCCCCATGCTCTGACCCTGCTACCCACTTTCTGTTCCCTCTTTATCCCCCTCTGAGTGGCCCCCACCCAACATGCTCTCTGCAGCTAGGATCTCGGCTGGAGGTCCCCAAGGCTTTCTATGGTCCTGATCACTTCTCCTGGGCTTAGGTGCTAGTTAGCTAATCTGATCATCCATCCTTTCTTAATGGGAGATGGCTAGAGGAAATTCTTCCCCACCTGGCAATCCCACACACACCCTGGACGTTCCTCATTCCTACCCAGGAACACAGGTCCAAATCCAAAGCAAACGCTGTCTCATCCTAGAGATCTTCCTTGTTTTGCCCTGAGCTCTGTACCACTTTATACCTCTCTTGGAACCCTTACCTCTTTCTTTTTTTTTTTAATATTTGTTTATTTATTTGGCTGCGCTGGGTCTTAGTTACAGCACACGGGATCTTTGTTGCCGTATGCGGAATCTTCGTTGCGGCATGCTGGATCTTTAGTTGCGGCATGCAAACTCTTAGTTGTAGCATGTGGGATCTAGTTCCCTGACCAGGGATCAAACCCGGGCCCCCTGCATTGGGAGCACAGAGTCTTAGCCATTGGACCACCAGGGGAGTCCCTTACCTCTTTCTAATAATAACTCATGTCTGTATAGCACTTTGTGGTCTACAACATTTTCCCATCCACCCAATCCAGCCCCCACCTCCTAGGCTTCTTAACCACCTTCTGTAACTGGG